TGAGCGCCCCCTACCATAGTAAGTGTACTATCTCATGAAATACTGACTAAAATTCTGAAATGTTTTCAATTCAAAAAAGATAAGTGCAGCTGTCGTGTTAACTGTTGTGTCGCGTACTGCTATAATATTCCACTAACGCCAGGTTGTCTGTTTTCGAACAAGCTTCCTATCGACCGCCTGCATAAACAGCATTTCGCAAAAAGTAACTGCTTAATCGATGTGAATTTTTCCAATGGAGTGTTGATGCCAAATAAATTCAAACATATCTTAGAGAAGGCATATATAAAATATTCTTCTTGCACAGATGGTGACAAAGCGCGTCTTGTTCAAAATTTCTACATGGAGAAAGGGTATCTTTCAGCTTTCTAGTTGTGAGATTGTTCATGAGCATTAAACGTTCAATAACGAAGCATCACGTCGGAAATTTTATTAATGCTGATTATAAAGTGAACAGCGCGGTCCACATTCACTACAAAATTTGATGAGCCATGCATGTCTTCTTCTTAGCAGCATACAGAAATGTACGCAGAAAGTATATAGCTTGTGGTTTGTAGGCCCTGGATGCAAGTGATACGCAGGAAGTGTTCAAAATTATTTTAGAATTGAGAAAGTTTTTAAACCCGTTATATAGTCTTTCGTCACGTTCAAAATTTAGAGAGAACGCAAGTTTCTATCAAATGAGTAGAAAAATTATTTCATGCGTGTTTTCTACAAAATATATTTGAATCTATAGAGGCGTCGAAAATCAGCAGGAACAATTTCTACTGTGTAATTGACGTTTTTTGCAGGATGTAAATTCGCAGCGTTCGAGGCCTCAGTTCATCCGATCAACGCGTTACAGAAAAACCTAAAAGGGGATTCAGCCGCCAGGGTTGGAATTCTATTCGGCAGAAGCCCAACAGGCAGCCACAGTGAGAAATCCTCTCTAGGTGGGTCGGGTACAACGGGATGGCGGTTTTGAGGGGAAGAACGGGCGGGGCAAACGGCAAAGGGCAATAAATTGGCAGTTGGAAGCCGAAAAATGTTGAAAATCGCAGAAAAATAAATATTTGTTTTAATGAAGTCAAAAATAGGGGGAAGATGGCGCGCAAATAGGGAAAACCGTAGGCAG